CTATATATATATATATATATATATATATATATATATATATATATATATATATATATATATATATATATATAGCCGTTGGATCTGATGCATCATGCGCTCAGATTTTGAGATAGTACATTTTCAAAGGATTTTGGTGCATTTCGACGTGATGCATTTTTAAACCATTTTGGTGCATCTGATTTTGATGCAATCTTGACCCTTAGATCTCACAATCTAAAGCACTACTACAAGAATTTATATGGTGGTAACTTTCCTACATGAGGCAATGATGATGGAACAAGAGGTGTCGGGATTTGTTGACACCATTGAGATTTGACACTAACACTTTAATATTTAGTGTTTTTACAATATTATGAATTATGTTACATTTGCACGTGAAGTTTTCATTAATCTAGTTTTGAATTATGTATTTTGTATTGATATCTTGTTTAGAATTATGTGTGAAAATTGAATGTGTTTTGCCCCCAATTTTAATTGCTACTGCCCAAAATAGCAAAAACTAGTGGCTGCGATCAGGCGGTCTACAACGGAGTAGTACGTTGTTGATTTCGTCGCAGATCTGCAACGGTGTGTAGACTTTCGTCGCATATTTTTTGGGTTGCAAAAAAAGACGAACCCGTTGCAGGTCCGTTGCAGATCTGCCACAGATTTTCAGTTCCGTCACAGATTTTAAATCTGCCACAAGTTTTCTGCGACGGAATATTTTCGTTGGAGGTCCGTTGCAGATTCTAAATCTACCACGGAATTTCAAATTCTGCAACAGAAATTGTCCGTGGCAGATTGACAGTTTTCTTGTAGTGCACCAGATTCATTCTCATTTCTCTCCTAAGATCGCATTCTCACCAGAACATATATATATATATATATGTGTGTTATATTATATTATATTATATTATATTATATATGTTATATTATATATATATATATATATATGTATATGTATATATATATATATATATATATATATATATATAAAACATAACATTTTAAAAGTATGTTGCAAAATGAATATATTGATATTACATTTATCATCCCTCTAAAGAGAGACATTAAAAATGGCCTAGCTAAAATGGTTGGCGTTTTGATTACAGGCAAGTAAAGCAGCAATGTCTCAGTTTTTTGAAACGTTAAGGATTGAATTTGGGCATGACATCAAAATAACTTTGGTGACCCCTGGATTTATAGAGTCTGAACTAACCTAAGGAAAGCACTTAGATAAAGATGGTAGATTTAGTGTTGATGCTGATTTGAGGGATGTAAGTTATTCTCCCAAAGTCTTGTTATTTTCAAAAAAATAAAGAAAATTGATTCAATATAACTTAGCCCTTGTTTGGGAACAATAACTTCACTTAGCATTTTGAATCTTTTTAAGGTGTAGATTCATTTTTGAAAATCTTGAAGCTAAACATTGCTAATTAATAACCTTTTCAAAATGCTAAAGATGTTTTCCGTAAGTTTCCGAACGAAACAGTATTCGAGATATTATTCATGGGTCTGTGTGGTGAGCGCGAGAGATATAACTTGTGATATCTTCAGATATTAGAACCCTTTCGTGGACGTTTCGTGAAATTAAAGTAGAGTTTGGATTTGTAATCTCTAGATATCATATTACTTCCAAATGGAGTGTTTTGATATGTTTTGAATTTGGGAGATATCAATACAGGGTTTTGATTTCTCCCTAAACCATTGTCAGTCACCGTTGCCGTTGCCGCCAACCTATTGTTTCTGACCATATATCATCACCAACCATTTGTTGACATCGACTTCCCAGCATCACATCCTGACTGCTAATAATCATTTTTTCATTAATTTCCAAATGCTTTAATTACAAATATTAATGGGTGACCTCATGGGTAAAACATTTTTTGCACAAACTCGCACGTGCGGCACATACGATTATCGTCTGTTCTATCTGTTCAAAGCATGGGTTCACCTATGTGGTGTTGCTGTAGTATGGTCTGATGTATTATATTCTTTCTTAACCAATTATATACTCTTTGATCTTTTATTTCACTCAATGATGCGGTTTCACTTTTACAATATGTCGCAGGCGCAAGTGAATATCATTCCTATAGGAAAGGTAGAGGGATGCACAAAGGCAATCGTGAGCGGTGCTTGTCGGGGAAAAAGGTACCTTACAGAGCCAGCATGGTTCAAAGTGACACAATGGTGGAAGGTATTCTTCCCTGAAGTGGTCGAGTACTCACATATGCTCCTCGCTATGTGCTCTGCGGCAGGAAGTTCACCCCTGGGGAAGAAAATATTGGGTTATACTCGCATCCAGAAGATCCTGTACCCGAAAAAGGTTCGCGAGTTTGGACCAAAGTTTGAGTATATTTGTTGTTTGGGAAGCTTTTATAGAATTTTTGGTATGATGTTTCATAGTTGGAGTGCTTAATTTGTGCTTGTACGTTTGGTTTGTTTGTTAATTAGTGTGACTCCTTAATCTTGGGATTTAATTACTTCATCCGTCTTAAACTTTCTCTCTTCAATTTATAATTTAGTCAATTCGTTAACAAAGATTAGAATTATATTTCATTCTAATCATTCCCGAGGATATGATAATCGGTTTACTTTGTTGGATTTTTGGCATTTAATAAGCATTAAAATTGACCAACTTAGGGTGTATTTATCTATTTGTGGGTCCAAAAATGGTTATTGACTCTTTATTGATAGACACATGTTCTTCTTGGTAAGACGAATGGTGAATGAATGAACCTAATAAGAAGAAGAAGAAATGGTCGTAAATATGGCAAAGTTTCAGTATCCTCAGATGACTCTAGGGGACTTGGCTTCATCAAAGAGTTTTGGACACCCAGGTGAGTGCAGGGACCCTGAGAATGCTTAAGTGACCCCAAGATCAGATCGTGCCTGTCCTGGTTGTGTACTCAGTTCTGGCCTTGCGCTTGGCCCCGACCTTAAGCTTGACTCGGTGTCATCCTCGGCTTAGAGTAAGAGTCACCGTGACTTCTTTCTTGTCCTGATCTCGTGCTCGTCCTTGGCTATTTGCTCGACTTCGGACCAAAAACTCTTTTATTTTACAAGCTGAGTGCAAATCTTTCCATTTTTCAAGAGTTAAGTGGCCATTAATCTCTAATAACATTAATAGATCTTTAATGAAACACTTGTAACCTACGAATTAATTGTTACTAATAATGAATCATTATTGGTGACATTAATGAAGATTATTATTGATGATCATTATTGATAAAAGTTACAAAGATGCATACACACACACACACACACACAAACACACACACACACACACACACACATATATTTTAAAGGAGATTTTATTAAGATTGAGGGAAAAGAAGTACAAGTGAAAGAGAGGCCTTCTACACCAACGACAATAGTTTACTACCGTTACTCCAAAATAAATCTAAACCCCAACCCTTGAAAGTGTTGTCATGGATCAGCCATTTTTTGCGTCTTGAAGCCTAACTCAATGCTTGTATATGTTTAAAGCATTGCTGGATGATACTATTCGTGGTGTGGATTTGGCCTTCATGAATTGCTAAATTCCTTGCCTTCCAGAGGTGCCAAGCAATGACACCGGGCAAAATGATTCGAAGAACCCCTTTGAAGGAGAACGTATCGCCGGAGAACCACCAACTGATGAAAATTTGGTTCAGTTTGAGGTTGGCCGTTGTCGAGGGAGCTTCGATAAGAGTGCCAAAATACTTCCAAACCTGGTTGCCAAACTTGCAGTTGCCAAGAGTATGGTCTAAAGAGTCTTCTGCTTGCTTGAAAAGGGGACATTGGCTAGGGAAACTTTAACCGAAGCACTTGGTTAACTCCGGGAAAGGGAGGCAATTCATGAATGCTTTCCATTGGAAGATTCGGATTTTAGGAGTCTTGGCCTTATGCCAGATGTACTTGCAAGAGAGACGGGATGGGATTCCACCGTAAAGAGAGGTGAGAGTAGACTTGGAGGAGAACGGTTTCCCATCCCAAAGTGGTGGTTGGACAGAATCAGTAAGGTGAGTGACAGCGTAGGAGTGTACCTGGTAGATCCTCTTCCAAGTTGAAGAATCAGTGAGCTTTTCTTTGATAGTGCCCTTACGCATATAAATGGCGCACATGGTGTTAGCCCACACACCCGTATCATGCTTTACCCGCCACCAGAGGTTGATGGATTGAGCCTGTTGAATTGTTTGGAGATCCTTAATACCCAGTCCGCCGGAAGTAGAGGGTTGGCAGAGGCGTTTCCAGCTCTTCCAGTGGTGCAGTTGGTTACCGTGCTTTCTCCCCCAAAAGAAATTGGCCATCCTTGCATGAAGAAGATTGATGACAGAGACCGGAAGGGAGTGCACGGATAAAATATGAAGGGTAATGGACGAGAGAACATGCTTGATGAGTATGAGACGTCCCATTTGGTTTAGAGTTTTGCTATACCAAGAATGAATGTGCTTGTCAAAGTGGTCCAAGAGGTTGCCACAGTGGTGTTTTTTGAGTTGCCCTTTGCAAATGGTAGCCCCAAGGTAGGTGAAAGGTAAGGTTCCCTTATGCATGGCAAGGATTTTTTCCATGTTCTTCAGTTGGCTACCGGTAGTGGTATCTTTGACGTAGAACTTGCTCTTGGCTAAATTGATGACCTGACCAGAATCTGAGGAGTATTCGTCCAACAGCTTCTTGAGCTTTAGTAAATTGGTGGAGTCACCCTTAGTAAAGATCATTATGTCATCGGCGTAGGTGAGGTGGCCTGGGAACTTCACACTGCCCATGTTATATTGATGGATGTGAGATTCCTCCATGCTATTATTAAGTAGACGAGATAATCCTTCACTCGCAATAATGAAAAGAAGAGGCGAAAGAGGGTCGCCTTGCTTAACCCCTCTAGACATGGGGAAGTAGCCCGCTGGTTGTTCATTAATTAGGACAGAGAGCATACTGCCTCTAAGGTTAGCCATGAGAAGCCTAGCTTCTTTGGTGCTGAAACCGAACTGAAGAAGAACCGCAAGCAGATAGTCCTAGCGCAAGGTGTCAAATGCCTTTGCCATGTCAATTTTGACAATGACATTACCTCCGAAAGTTTTCCTATTCAGGTTGTGTAACGCTTCCATAGCAAGGAGAATGTGGTCGGACATGCATTTCCCTTTTTGAAACGCCACCTAAATTTCTTTTTTTAATTAATGAACGGTCGGTTACAAGCACGCGGGCCGAGGCCCGTTAACCTCGTGACTACCCCGGGGCCCGTTAACACCCGAGGTAGATAGCCCACTATAGAAAGGCCAAAGTAAGCCCAATCTAAAGCCCAGCCCCCATAAGCCCAAATCTACTTCCCAGGGGGTCACCCATCATTTTTGCTACTCCCATGCCAGCACGCTTAACTCTTTAAAATTCCTCCAAATATGCATCTTCTGGGGATCGAACCCGGATGCTGTGGTTCGCCAATCAACCATGTGACCATCTCTACAGGGGGAACCACACACACACACACACACACACACATCCATCCATCCCTGAGAGCATAAGGGATATTTTGGTAGTTCCTCCTTGTTTTTCTGGACGACAATTGTTCTGACATTTTCTCGTTCACTGGCACAACTCCAGACCACACAATTGCATTGTGCGATAACAGTTTTATCTTGGAAGGAGAGCATCCATGTTAGCGAGTGTGGTAGGTGAGCATTACTACCTTAAGGAAAGCTTCGGCAACTCTGCTTTCCTTCTTTTCTTCTAGTTTCAGGCAATCTCAAGGCTCCCTACTCAGGCGGAGTTCATTGATGCGTTGCCTTAGACTCTAGATGCTACTCTATTTTCTTTTTCATTATTGTAAAATCTAAATAGTTTATGAATTTAGAATATTATATTCTTGTTTATGGGCCGATATCCAGCGGGCGGCCCAAATTGATCATCCAACAGACTCTGGGTCAAGCGCATGGTAAACACTTGGACCTGGGCCCGCCCATAACACGGGGCTCGGACCACTTCAACCCAAAAGAAAGCTGGCAGAGCCAATCCGCAGGAGGAAACTCAGCTGAAGAACGGAGATGAAGCCGGAAAAAGGGGATCACGCCATCGATGGAGTGGACTCCCTTTGATTATAATTACCTTAATTATCAAGAACCCATGTATAAATAGAGGGGACCCGAAAGGGGGAATCTCAAGCTAAATCAAGCTAGTAATACACACAGATAATTCTCAAGTTCTTGTTCTTATTTCATTTCTTGTGATCCATTTTTGACGAATTAACCATGTATATCCTTGACGGGTCGCTACCAACAGATCCGGTCGCAGCCCAATTCGTTAAGCGACGTGCACCTAGCTACACGCTAGAGTGCGGTCGGTTGTTTAAGCGATCGTACAATGGTACATTGTTAAGGTGTCTAAGGAGGGACGAAGCGCAGAAGTTGATGGAACAAATCCATGAAGGGATATGCTCAGCGCACTAAGGAGCTTTTACGATGTCTAAAAAAAATAACCTTGCATGGGTACTTTTGGCCTACGATCATCAGGGATTGCGTAGAGTATGTGTGTAAGTGTAAGGTCTGCCAAGAATTTCAGAAGGTACCAGGGCGACCAGCAACAAATTAAACCCCAATCAGCACGTCGATTCCCTTTGCTCGGTGGGGCATTGATTTAGTCGGAATCCTGCCCAGGGGAGCAGGGAATAACATGTACTTGGTGGTCGAGATCGACTACTTTACCAAATGGGTCGAGGCCGCCCCGGTACCAACTATCACCGAAGAGCAAATGAGGAAATTTGTGTCCAAACCAATTTTGTGCCGTTTTGGGGTACGGTGCCCCAGAAGATTATCACTAACAACGGAACCCAGTTCGAGGCTGAGGGGTTCAATGACTTTCTGCAAAGTTGGGGCATAAAACATAGCTACACCGTGGTCGGGTACCCACAGATCAATGGGCAGGTCGAGAATACTAACTGTACCATTGTGGACGGTCTAAAGAAGAAGATAATGGAGTGCAAAAGTGCGTGGGTAGAAGAGTTTCCTTACATCCTATGGACCTATAGGACCACCCCAAGAAAAGCTACGGGAGAAACTCCGTTCACGCTCACGTATGGGTTCGAGGCAAGGGCTCCAGCTGAGACCTCGTTGCTAAGCTACATAGTGGAAACGTTTGATGCCCAAGAGAACTAAGAGAACTTAAGGGCGGAGTTACATCTCATAGATACGCAAAGAGAAAGGGCATACATCCGAGCAGAGAACTACCGTCGGCAGGTTAAGTCGTACCATGATCAAAGGGTGCGACTTGGATCCTAAGGAAAAGGGAGGTCAGTCGGCCGACCGACGGTGGAAAGTTTGCCAAAAGTTTTGAAGGACCAAACATCATTAAGGAGGTATTAGCCGATGGAGTCGTTAAGATGCAAACACCAGCGAGAGGCGATGTCCCGCGGGTATGGAACGCTGCCAATCTCGTCAAATTTTATCGGTAGACTGTACTCCTGCTATGTTTCTCCTTTGAGTTTAATAAAATCAGCATTTTGGCACTTCTCTTTTTGAATTTCATTGTCCAAAAAAAAGGAGCGACCAAAGAGATAGCTAATAGAAGCTACATGGTGATTCGCACTAAGATACCCATCGAGGGATGAGGTGCTAAACCCAATTAGTAACCAAGTCCAAAGGCTATCAGAGGGTGCTTGATCTACGGTCGCTAAGGCGACCGGTAGGACAACACGCCCAGTAGAGAAGGGCGACGCCGTGGCGAAAAAGCCTTAGAAACGGCTAAGTCCAGAACATGAGATCCAATGGTCGCATGAGCGACCAAGGGACTTGTGAAGAACATGGCGACGCCGTGGGAGCGAAAAAGCCCTAGGAATGGCTAAGTCAAGGGAAGCAAGGGGTTTTTTCCAACTGAAGGTTGAGGAACCTGAAATGCTTAAGGTGCAAAAGACAACTTGAAAAGAAGATGGGACTTGTAAGTAAACAGGTAACATCGAAGTACATTCACGAAAATATCTATTATATTTCAAGAATCACCTTTTGCATCTACATATCCAATACAATTAAGAACAACTTCCATACATCTTACATACGAGACAAAAAAGTCAAAATCTCTGCGGCTGAAGCCCGGTAAGGATGAGGAATACGGTGGAAAAGGCAAGGTTGAAAGGTAGTTCTGCAGTTGTGTGCCACCTTTCTTCTCCGACATGGAACAGAGATGGTCGCCCTCCAGCCGCAACAAAAACCCATGTCCTTCTCCTACGAAAGAATGGGGGCGGCGACTCACTTTTATGTGAGCCCCAATCGGCATCACCTAGATAAGGATGAAGACCCTGAGGCAGCTTGAGCTACCCCAGGTCGCCTAGGAGTCTTCCGGGGGCGAGCGACCAGCGGGCCGAGGTAGGGAAGAATCCAGTTCGTCCCCCACCACAACCTCTTCTTTAGGCCGCACTGGCGAGCTGGTGCGACTCTCGCTAGTCCACTGCTCTAGACTCGTGTAGTATGCCTCTTCATGCTCCAAAAGGGGCAAGTGCTCATCCTACACGCTCTTCCAAACCGCATAATGCCATTGGTGAATGGGGAAGGGAGCATCCCAGTCAACCTCTCTGTTTGGCAGACGGTTGGCTAAAAGTGCCTTAGATGCCGCGCTAAAATCATCATAGGGGTTCGGCGGAATGGGCGGTAGCTTAACCGAGGGCCACTGACGGCAGAATTCGTAGGGGTCTAGCCTCCCAGTCGTTGGAGTTAACAGATTTGGGGGAAGAGGCAGGCTCCGGCGAAGAAGGGGATGGCCCGTCGGAGAGATTCAAAGAAGTAGGAACTTCTTCACACATGGCAAAAATGGAGAAAGAGAGGGTGTTTGGTGGAGGAGCTAAACATAGAATGGGGGGCTTAGAAATAGCCCCGGGTGAAGAAACCGAAGGGACGGTCAAGTCCCAAGGCAGCTGAACCGATAAAGTAACCTTGAGCGTGCGCAAAGGTCCAATCAAAGGCTGTGCAGAATGCATTGGGTCAGTTGGGCGGCACGCCAGCTAGTCCCGAGGCTGGGCCTAGCCGTGCAATTGGGCCAAGGATAGAGATTAGGCCCAAACTAAAGGCCCATCCGATCTACGGGGTAAGTCGACTCAAAGGAAAGAGTATAGTAACAAAGTGCAAGAAAAGCAAAGGCATGTGATAAATAAAGCAAAACAGCAAACATGAGAGTATTGTATCAAAGCACCAAGGCATTTCAAAAATCATAAGTCTTACAAGTTTAAAGGCAAAAAAGACAAGGGGGAGGGGAGGTAAATCAAATGCCTAAGCTGGCGCCTCCGCCCGCCTTGGACGTCGCCAGGTTGGCCCTAGGTCCCTGGTCGCCTTGCCCACCTTGGTCGTCCAGTGCAGCTTCTACTTCTTCCTTATCAGAGGCACTCGAGCTCCCCTCGTCCAAGTAAGGGTTGGGGCCGAACTCAGCCAAGGCACGGCAAGGAGGAGGAAAACCGAGGTTGGGGAAGGAGAATCCTTTGGGAATCCGAGCTAGCTTGTCGCGGAAAACCTGTTGGGCACGGAAAAGTCCGCAGTTGAAGGACTTCTTAGACTCCTTGACCATCCATTTGACACCGGGCCCGGTTTTGAGCCACTCGACTACCATCTTGTCCATCCGCTCCATAGGGACCGCAGAGAAATCAAGGGAAGACTTGAATGACTCGATCGCCTCCTCCAAGCGACGGGCCTGGTCGCTCCTCTCCACCTCCAGCTGCTGAATCAGATCAGTCTTCTCCCCCTCCAGCTCAGCCACGCGGGCAGAAACGGACCCCACTTCAGAAGACAAGGAGGCGTTCTTCATCTCAAGGGCGGCGGAGCGACCTTTCTCCTTCTCCAACTCTCTTGCGAGGCGAGCGACCTCCTCCTGCAGCTCCCTCTGCTTATCCTCTGCGGCCTTCCTCGCCTCATCCATAGCCGCTTGGCGGTCCTGTCTCCGTCCGACAAGCTCGATCATCCCCAGCGTAGCCTGGACCAAAGCTTAAAAAGTTTGGGATGCAAGGCGGAGGGGTGGCGAGAAGAGAGTTAAGGCAAATACCTAGCTAAGCTTCAAAAGAACCATGTTGTTGAGGTCATCTTCAGAACCGGCCGAGATGCGAGCTCGATCCTGAGCGGGCAAGGTGACCAGGGTCTCTAGTTGCACGTGCCCTAGGCTTGGGGACGAGGGAGGGATGCTAAACCTCGTCGAGCAACCCTCGGTCACCACCTCGTAGGTCACTACGGGTGGGGAAGGAGGTCGCTCCGAGAAGGCCCTCTAGGACGACCCTGCTAGGTCGCCACCGAGTGTCAGAGAGCGCGGGGGGGAGCTGATCACCATCGTCCCCGTTTCCAGAGCCGCATCATCGTGGTCTTCTACCTCGATCACGACCTGCTCCCGCGGGGGGCTATCTTCGCCATGAGAGGAAGAGCGCCTGCTTTTGCTTTGCCTAGTCGCGTCCCTCTTCCTCTTCCTCCTCGCAATAAAGTGGCCAAGCAAAAGTGTAACACCCGCCTTCCGTGGACCCGGTTCACCCGCGACCCAACGGACCGGTAGGGTTACATGGGCGGTCCGAGAACCGTCCGTAGTGAAGAAAGCATTAATGTCTATTTAATATGAAAACGGTTGGGGTTAATTAGTGGAATAAATGCTAGGGAGTTATTTCCAAAATGTGTGTGATGTAAAAGTAGAGTGAAAGCGGAAGTAAATAAATAAGTCCAAAATAAGTAAAACGAAAAATGGTGGGTTATTGCCCAAATGATTAATTTATTAAATGTATATAATTATTAAACTTGTCCGTGCTCTGCCCATCTTCCCATCATCACTGTCCTCCAGGGTTAAGACCTGTATCGTCATGTCTACCTGCGTGTAGCAAAAATAACTACACGCTCAGCAAAAGCTGAGGAGTGAATCTAACAAAAGAACATGAAGTGATAACCCATATGATTATACACATATTAATACATGTACTTAACGTGCGGGAAACCACATGTTTACTAACTGTTTAGTTTGCACCTGTTGGGGTACTATTACATATAACAAAATATAATGATGTGCTACCACATTGAATGTTGATGTGATGTGGAACATACATGATGATGATACGACTTGATGCATGACCTAAACTATCAGGGACACCCCTGGCTTAGCCTCACTTGACAGGATCACCCCTGCACTCCGGTTGTCATACCGAAACGGTAATGAGCCGAGAACAAGTGGACTAGCAAAACCGGGTAGTATCCGTAACCAGACTACTATGTACGTACACAAGGCCCACTTGATGAAAACCCGTTGGATCCCAAAGGTTCCTGGACGGGCCCACTGTAGTAGGCGCACGAAAGCTTAACCTCCCTACAGCGGTATGCACATGATGAAAAATCTAAGACATGCATCTAGAATGAACATGATGAATGCTTGATATATTTACCTTTGGTCAACGCCAAGAATATATCAATTAAATAACAAAAATAATGAATATTAACATTTCATGCAAACAAACGATCGGTTTCTGGGTCAATATGGTCAACGGGCTCGTTCTACAAAACTGCCCGCAGAACGGTCTCCAGTTTTTAGAATGATAATACAACATTGATGAATATATTCCTAGTGATTCACAGGCCTATATATATAAGTTTACGTAGTGAACATTTATTGGCCGGAGAGGTCCGGATCCGGAGAAGTCTGACTTTCGGAGAAATCCGTTTTTCCGAGAAATCCGATTTCTAAGAAATCCGGTTTCCGAGAGGTTCGATTTTCGAGAAATCTGAATCCTGAGATGACCGAATCCCATTCTAACCGGAATTGATCTTGATTCATTTGTTTCCTAGTTGATTACTGATTCATTTCCTTGTAGGATTTGTATTTTCCCTCTCTATTTTGGGAATCTATCCTCTCCTATAAATAAAGGAGAAACCTCTTGTAACTAGGAAGAATAATTCAATATACAGAATATTTTCTCCCTTATTAATTCTACAACATTTTTGATGGTTAACCTACAAACATGCATAAATTCTACGTAGGTTGCGTACGATATTTCTATGAATACAACGACATAGATTATAACTAAAGGTTCTAGAGTTAGAGGGAACAACTACTCACCTCTAAACGATGCGTTGAAACTACGAAGATGACGAGGAATGTTGACTACGCTTCGCACGAACGGCCTAGCTCTTCTTCTTCTTCTTCTCCCTCAACTGTGCACCCACCGGAGCTTCGTCGGAGACCTCCCTGGGCTGCTTCCCTGGCCGAACAAGGGAAGGAGTAAGATGGATGGTGATGATGGAGACTTGATGATAAATTAGCAATGGGGGGTTACAAAAATGGTGATGATGAGAATGGGGAGTGTATCTTATAATGATGGTGAGTTCAGAGAGTTATTGGGGAATTGAATTTGAGGAATGGAAGAGCATGGGCTAGACGTGTGAATGATGGAGGTTACAAATATTTATTTTACTCCGTTGTGTAAAATCTGACCTGAATGGTACGCGCTTTCCCCCCGAACAGGTCCAAATTGAGATCCGTTTGTGTTTTTGGAATCAGACAGTCAAAACGAATTTAATGACATGTTCAAATAATTTTTCTATGAACTTATATTTTGCCCAACTCCGGTCTGGAACAGTAATAGATTAATTAAATTAATCAATTTTAATAGACCGGGTTACAGGGCGTTACAAAAAGCTCACTGTCCATCTCTTCTTCCAACCCTGGTGGCTCAACGGAAAACGACAGAACGGTTAACTTCCGAAGGACATAAACTTGAAATCCCTAATAAAAGGAAGGAAATTACCAAAAGGACCACAGTTAACGCCTCCCCAGGAGTATCCCATAGCAAGTCGGGATGATGGCGATACTCGTCCTGGACAAACTCAAACCCCAGCGCCGCTAAAGATTCCTCGGTCACCACCTTCTTAATCTCGATGGCCCCTTGGCCGTAGAGTTGCCGGGTGATGGACAGAAGGGCAGCATTGGACGGGGGACACAGAACGCGACGGAAAGATGGGAGCCCTGAACCCGTGAAAGGAGATTCAAGCCCCGTCGAGACAAAGACAAAGAAGGGTTTCCAGTCCTTGGTCAATCCCTTCTTGTCGCTAGTAAAGAGCTTGCTGGACTGTTGGGAAAGGCTGGGGCAGGATGCCCAATCCCCATGACCCTTGGTCAGCTTGAAGGTAAACAGGAAATGGTCAAGAGTAGGTTTCACCCCTACTGCCTTGCATCTGACCAGATAACCGGCGATGTACCAGTGAGAATTGGGGACCAATTGGCAAGGAAGGAGGTCCACCCCGTTAAGGAACTCAATCAATAACGAGTGGCGAGGAAACCGCAGCCCCTTCTTTAGAGACGCCATATGAACTGTAAAGAACCCTGATGGAGCATCTAGGGCGGTTTGGGTGCTAGTGGGCCGTAGAACCTCGATAGAGGGTCCGACCATGTCAGTGGCATCGGCGAACCCCCGGTCAGTGATTTGGCAATGGCACAACGCCATGATGTTCTCATCCAGCTTAACCCTCGAGCCCGGGGGGGGGGGGGGGGCGCGCTGGGGTCGAGGGAGGAAATTGCTTCCTCAACCGGCGCCGCTTTTGGCCGAGCACGGCCGCCGGCGATGGCTTAGACAATTGGGTTTGACCTAAGTCATGGCCAGAGGCCGATTGATCGGCTTGGTGAGAATTGGACGACGGGGAAGCTGAATCAGAATCAGAGATAATCATGGTGGCGAAAGAGGGAACTGGCCTGGAGAAGAAGGAAAACGGGTCGGGTAACGAAAGAAGGATGAATGAAGAGCAGTTGAGAAGGCAAATGGGGAAGATTGGCGTCCAGCGGCGGTTTTATCAGATAGTAGAAAGGCGAAGCAGCAGGCCATGATTACTTTTAGTGGAGATCGTGCCAAACGTCACGCGAAACCCAAGGAGCGGCCTGAATCCGTTCTGGAGCGCCCACGTGGACCTCGTAAACTCCCCATCCCTCAACGTGGCCCATTTGAGGAATGAGGAGTTGGGGGGCTCGTGATGGGCCGATATCCAGCGGGTGGCCCAAATTGATCATCCAACAGACTCCAGGTCAAGCGCACGGTAAACACTTGGACCTGGGCTGGCCCATAACACGGGGCCCAGACCACTTCAACCCAAAAGATAGCTGGCAGAGCCAATCCACAGGAGGAAACTCAGCTGAAGAGCGGAGATGAAGCCGGAAAAAGGGGATCGCGCCATCGATGGAGTGGACTCCCTTTGATTATGAATTACCAAGAGTAAAGGTGTATTTGTACGCAATAGAGGACTTGAAAAAAAATGGCATGATAGAGAGGAAAAGCACATAATAGACAGCGATCAAGCACAAGTGTTTCCATCTCATCCCAAAATCTTATAGGCCGAGTGCCTTTCTTGAAGAGATCACAAACTAAATCAAGAAGAAAATCTTCAAAGTGCAAAGACCATGATATTTAGAAGATGAACATGTGTGTCAATAAGTCTTCTATGGAGGTGTGATAGCTAAAGCATATCCGTGTAGGGAAGACTAAAAATCATAGATTCTAGGTTTTGTCAAGAAGATCTCACCATTTTGTGTATGGATGGTGTAACATCCATTTAGCTATTTAGTGGAAGATTATTATATTACATCAACGTAGGTGCTGCATAGAGGATTTTTCTTAATTGTATAAACATATGAATTGTTGTTTCTTTACACTTTTTTCCTGCTTACTGCCATTCGAGTGCTATAGACTTAGTAGTATATACTAACCCCATATGATTACTTTGTTTTTGCGTGCACGATTTTCAATGCTCGAGATTGATTTTAAATCATCACACCTCTCAAAATTTCAATAACTCAAGAATACACTAGACATGTAATATACAACCCTCATCTATATGAGGGACTCCAACAATGTGACGTGAAGTAGTGGTAATGGCGCATGGTTTTTGTAAGGGAACAATTTGTAACTAGTACCACTTTGAAACAGTGGACAATCCTTAGCCAAGAAATCAGTGACAAAAATTGAGTATCATAATCCATAATTTTTAGCACAAACATATACTAAATGACCCCAAGAACCGAGGGGCACCTTTTATCTTATCGTTGGTACATACGTGTGCCTATACAATTTGGTGTATTTGGTACGGAAAATTATAGGGAGGGTCCTCTAATTTGATCGAGATGGGAAGAGGCTTAATCATATACCTTTGTTTACTCAAACTATAACGTCTTGAAAACCGGCTTTTTATTTAGTCTTTAATTTAATAAAAATAAATATAATGTTTTCTGACTAAAAAATATAAAGTATTTGTAAACTTGGCCTTAATATTTAAAAATTATATATTTAGGTAGATCTCATAAAGTATTTCTTGTCTCTTAAACCGCTGAAGCCGCAGACGAGAAGAACAGAAACAGAGCCGACAAAGAAACCTCGACGCCGCTGCCTCGTAGTTTCCGATCGCCATCTCCCTTACCATTTGAGTCAGATTTATTTATTCGTCTAATAATCAAGGTGATACATAGACATCTAACGCTAGATTATACGTATAAGTTTGACATTCATGTTCGTAATCTCGTATGATAGATTATGTGATATATTTGATTATAATTTGAATTATGATGTATTATACATATATGATGTTATTGGAATTGATTAATCAAGGAAGTCCAGGTACATACATTCCCTTACTCCAATTTGCATGGTTTGTGTGTCAATAACGTATAAAAACATTACACGTATTGAATAGTTTTGCATTGAATCAAACTTTGCTGTTTCGGTGAGTTTTAAACGATAGACGGTAGCTAGGTACCGCCTAGCGGTACCCTGGTACCGTCACAGAGGAAATTTCTCTACCGGTATCTGCGCTGGGACGATAGGGGGTACCAGACCGACGGTGCGAAGGTACCGTAATAGATACCGTACCAGCAGCTGTATGCCCGCTATTTGTTTGTTTGTTCTGATTCGAGCCGCGGATTGATTCTAAGACTTTATGTGCTGCATGACGGTAAGTGGAAGGTTTTTAGACCTGACACTAGGCCGCTACGTAACGCCCCAAAACATACCCCAAAATTATTATTAAATTTGTTATTTAATTAAACAAATTTGTTTTGATTAAAATAAATTATTGTTGGGCTTTCGGCCAAAATGAAATGTATTTTGATATCTAATATCAAAAATAGGATAAATCTTATGGATACAAATCCAAAATGCAAACTGTTTGGATGATTTTGATCGGGAACAAGAGTATAGACACAAATATAGAATTTTGTTAATGATGTAAAATTTTGAGATGATTTATTGAAATCAATCATGAGAACAAATGATATGAATTGAATATGAGAAACTTTTGAATAAAAGACTAATTAAATCGATTTTGACTCTGTCAAAGTCAAACACCCAAAAAATACATTGTTAGAAAAAGTATTACAAATAAATATAAAAATTATATCGTTGGATAGAGTTTGACTGTTTGAGCTCAATGGTACAAATAGATTTCAAATCAGAGAAAGTTGGATAAAAAGTGTACCCCGACTAGGACCAAAATTAGTCCCAATTAGGGAAGAGTCGTTTGAATCTTCAATTGCCGAAGCCTCCTCTACTATCACGGATCGTGAATCAGCTATTACACAACAACATTGTCACCTTCTTCACCTTCTCCACTATATAAGCATACCACAACTTCCTCCATTTTTCATCAATTCCTTCAATTCTTTCTTCTATTCTGTTCTTTGATGAGTGAGGAGTGCAGTGGTGCTACCTAGAGAACTTGAGGTCGCTGGAGTTGGTAGTAATCATCGCTGAAAGTTTTGTCACAAAACTTCCAAAACCTCTATTTAAGCCCAAGGTATGACCTTAGATATATCTACTGGTTATAATGTTCATATAGATCGTTTCTACGTTCATAAACAATCGTTTGGTTGAGTTTTGTGTTTGACATGTTTGAAGAACCAATAATCATAAACCTTGAATTTGTTATTAAAACTTCGAACTAATGATACCAAAATAATCTATAAACCTTGGAGAATATTCCTATATAGTTTAATTGAAGTTTGGTAGCTTAAAATGATGTTTTTCAAAGTTTGACCGCGATAACAGTACGTCAGTACCTACCTACCGCCGGCACGGTAAGCCATATTGTCGATATGGTAGGCACCTACCGCTGGCACGGTAGGGGGTACCGACTGGTGCCCGTCTATGCAGCTCGAACTGTAGCTAATTACCATTGAAATGGTATAAGCTGTATCGTTTGGCCTCCTATTTCCAATCAGTAATAGTAATGGAAACGGTTGACCATCCGGCAGTAACGGTTGATCATTCTAAACATTTTCCATGACAAAAAATCTGATTTTGAAGCTATAAAATCCTATTTTTGATACCATTCAACTATAATAATCATTATGAAAATGATTTTTGGAAATAAAAATAATGTTTTGACCAATCTAAGATCCTTGTGTGATGCATGACGGTAAGCTAGGGTGTTAACACTCGACGCTAGACCGCTATTTGTTATTGAATATTATGATGATTATTATTGATTGTTGATTATAATGATTAAACCTTGATGAATATCCTGACTAAAATTATAATTATGAATGTTTGATTCATGGTTAAAAATATATAGATTGATGTTTATGAAAATGATGTGTATTGTTAAACGTATCTAGAATAACTCTAAGATATACCCATGTGACCAAATTAGTTAGGCCTTACGGGTATGATGCCTGATATTCAGAGTTAAAATGTACGTACGGGATTCACAAACCAAACTTGAGTATCTACTCGTTTGGGGATATCACCCACCCAACGGTTGGTAATCTGTTGCTCGGTTTGGAGCGTGTCTATAAGACTCATAGGATGGATCATCGATTCTTATATTATATCTTAAACTAATTATAGTTTAAGAGCCCAATTAAAAATATTGCCTTAGACTAATAATATTTTAAGATCTTTGTTATCAATATGAATTTGGCCTTAGATTAAGAATAATTTAATAGCACTGTTGAAATAATGAATATTGAATATTTGAATTGAATATCTTGTTCATGATATCAAATGATTTGATTATGAATTGAGATGTAATTTATGTGGATGTTCGATGCATTAGATTTCCTTACTCAGCTTCACCGCTGAGCGTGTAGTATGTTTTATTTGATACACGTAGGTATATACAAAGAGTGATGTGACATGATCCTGACAGCAGACGAGGGTGAGATTGTTGAAATGGATGTGATGGTTTTGAACTTTTATTTCAAAAGACATAATTAATTATGTTTTGTGATTGTGTTTTGTTAAGCTTCCGCAACATTGAAAACTCCGTACTGGTTACTGTTTATGCTATGGATATTATTTATAATAAACAAAAGTGTTTGAAATGTTTTAAATTTTAAGATTACCAAGTTTATAGTTTAGCTTGAAAGGGGGTGCAGACCGGGATGAATTAGGGTGTTACACGCTATTTGTATTATACAATGATTATTCAATTGTTGTTATCTATTTGGTATATTTTAAATATAATCTTGATATGCCTTGTACGAACGAAGTAAATTGAGTTTGTTGATAGCTTGTACCTGAATATTTAAATAGAGTTAATGATTTAGGTTACTTAGAAGAACTCAAGTACTACCTTATGAGGATTGAGATTGTAAGTTGAC